GAGAGACACTATGGTTTTTACATGTTTTTACCACCTGCCGTGGGTTGTGCCTTGTATCACGTGCCGTGCTGTCACGTGCCGCATAGTCGTGCCGTGCACAGGGGTTTGTACTCCGTGGTGCGCTCCAAAGCCTTCAAGCGAGCAAATGGCCTGGTCTCCAAGAGGACCAACCGTCCAAACCTTGCCGAGACCCGAAACCGGTGCTGCGTGGAGACCCACCGCTGACCTGGTGTTCACATGGCGTCACACGGAGCCACAGTCATGAAGAGTCAGGTAGATGAGCCTCGGCGTTTGAGGATTGGTGTGTTTTCCTTCCAAGCCCAGTTTGTGTTGTAAAGGTGATCGGTGATTCTATTGTGAGCATTCTTTTGCAGGAGGCAACAATCGTTCATCCAAATAGAAAGAAGACACCACAGATGATCACAAGGTTTTGATTGTTTGATTGTTTGATTGTCCTTGAAGCTGCTTCTAGCTCTGCTCTAACAGGTGACCCCAAAAGGAGTTTCCTCCACAACAGTGAGGCAAAATATGGTCTTTAGATGAGCTTATGGCTTATGGCTTATGCCGTCCATTCTGTCTCCCTTCATTTTGCGACAAGTTTGTGGAGTTCACTTGCATACCCTGAGTGTGTTCAGCGAACGGCAGGACATACAACCTGGACAAGAAGACCAGCTTCAAGTCATGCGTGGTGATGGATTTACCGCCAGGCCGGCTGTGGCCGTATTTCAGTTGATCATGGGTGCGGGTCCCCACAGTAGAATGTGTTTCAGAGGTCGCGACGTGTGCAAAGCAGGTTTGTAGGGCAAGAGGGGTTTTCACCGAAAAACGTTTTTTGGATGACAGGCATCCCAGGATACCATGCGACTTGGGAGCTTGATTCATACTGGAAAAAAATACAATTTGCCGAAGTTTGGATGAGTTGGACATACGATGAAATATGTGACTTCCTTGGTCTACCACTAGTCACCAGTGGCAACACTGGAACGCCCGCCACCCGCCAAGACCGGGCCGCCGCCTGGCAGGCCGATGCATCTCAGAGCCCAAATGGTCTTTGATCTACCTACACTCCTTTAGCCAGAAAGGCCTGGATGACATTGAGGAAGAATAAATCACTCAAAGAGTGCATGAAGATCTGAACCCATACTACAGGATATTCGGTGTGCTTCTTATTCCCAGTGATTTTCTTTTGACCAAGGGTTTTCGCCAAAACATGGCCAAGTTCAAGAGCATTTGCCGAGTTCGGTTGGGATTATTGATCATTTGTGGAGAACGTTCTTTCGATGCAGGTGATCAACACATGAAGTTCGTGAAGCATCCTTTGGACTGTCTGTCCCAAGACCGTGTACGGTATTACGATCATCGATGCGGTGGGAATGGACCAATGGACCATACGAACCCTTGGGATTCCAGGCACGGAGTACATGGACTTCCCTCACTACTTCAATGCACCGTGACCCAGGGCCACGAGCGCCGCGTTCGGCGAAGCGTGCGTTCGGCGCCTTTTGTTTCGGACCGTGACCGGGGGCCGGGGGCTGAGAGGCCGAAGATCTTGCAATTTTATTTTAGTCTTGCTTGGCCAGTTCTTTGTCTAATTGAAGTTCCCACCACAACTGATGGCTTGTTTTGTGTTATATAGTGAAGAATTGATCCGCCCAAGAATTCTGGTCATCCATTCCATACCAAGCATTGCATTTGAAGAATGCCCCAATCAAGCAGTTGGGCAACCTACAAATGGCTATGAGCCTTAGAGGTGTCACCAATCCATTGATCACCGAAGGGAGTGGGTTCCGAGGTGTGTGGTGCCAGCATGAGGGTCATTGTGCCCACGGCCCCCTTGCTGGAACAGGAATGTTTCAAGGACGGAGCTATATTAATCTTCGTTCTTGCGGAAGCCTGAAGTGAAAGGTGAAAAGTATTGAACAGTGTGATCAATAGACTCAACATGACTCAACAGACACCTCTTAATCTTGAAGGATCTTTTTACGGGGTGGAGAATGGACACCCCTGAACAGGGGTCCAGGAAGAGATTTGTTTCCCGAAGTGGCTGTATAGTTGTATGATGTTATATGTATATATATAATATATATGTGTTTAAAGTCAGCCTTCCATGTCAGGCAGGTTTGTGTCAGTTACGCTGCATCAGCCACATGTCATGCCATCAATTCTTTTGTGCTTCGAGTGGACGACGGTGACGGCTCTGACTCGCTGCCCCGTCGCTGTCCGACTCGCCGTGGAGGACTGGTATGTTTGGCGTGGAGGACACGACCCGGGCTGGTCCGCTGCCTAGTGAGACACGACCGTGACAGTCTCACTACTCCCATGACAGTCTGACTGTGAGACACATCGTACAAAGGCATCGTCCCCATATACGATGCTGAAGTTTGAGATTGAAGATTGAAGCGGGGGACATCGAAACATTCTTCACAAGAGTTCACAACGACTTGTGAAAACAAGTGAAAACAGCTTTTGATGTGGAGGCGGAGAATCAAATTCAATGCATGGTTCAACTACATGACCGACAAGGCTTGGGCCTCAAACACTGGGAGAAGTGGGGGAGATGTTTTGCATAGTTTTGCACCCGATGCAGGCAGAAGAGATGTTTTTGTTCCAGTGGCAGTGCTGCTGGGACTATGCAGTAAGAATGGAGGGTTGGTGTGGGAAGGGATGGGTGCAACAGATTTTGGACAGCCCGAGTTGTTTCGGATGTTTGCACAACATTATGATCAATGATTGTCGCACGCGTCACGGAAATTTGAGCAGTCGTCCGCTCAGGGTGGAGTTGCTGAAAACACCATTTGCCAAGAAAGCTCGGCGCCCAGGGACGTGCGCTGAAGACTGGGAGGAGTGGTCTTTGCCTTCCCAAATTCAAGACAGATGTTTTGAGAGGACGGTGCTAAAAACGGCTGCCATCACCAGAGGAGCAACTGGCCAGTAGACTACGTAAGATGCGCAAGGCCCTTAGGCTGTTTGTCGCTCAAGGCGGATTTGCTCTCTCGTGCTTTTCACCCAAATACAATACCCAATGTCAATGTCGTCTTCCTCACAGGGCCATGGTCCACCGTGTCTTTTTTCCCACGACACGTCTCCAATGGATGCTGATTCCTCCCATTGATACGGGGATGTATATGCGGCTACACCACGAATTTGGTATGAGGAAGCTGAGAAGTTTACGTGGAACCTGAATTTCTGCAAAATACTCAGTACATGTTGTAGTTTTCTGGGCATAGGCTTGAAGTATGTGTTGTTTCCTATTTGTCAGGAAAGCTTCATACATAATTATATGCTCTATAATATGTATATATATATATTGGAATATGCCCTGACTGTTTAAGACTGGAGTGCACAGTCATTAGCAGCTACCGTGCCAGGCTTGCTGGCCATTCGTGATCGCTTGCACAAGCTCATCCGACATGAGGCGTTGGCATGACTTCAAGCTAAAGCAGAATGGATTGGCGTTTGCATGTTGGCATGATGAGCTATGAGAGATTCTCATGTTTGCGCCCTTTTTCAGGTTGCATTCAGAACGCTGGGTTCAACAAATTTGGGTGAACGCATTTGCCTTGCCTCGCACTCATCCCAGCAAAGAGAGAACCTCCTGCAGAAACAGAACTATAGATGAGAACCTTATCAAGATCAATGTTCATGGATTGAAGCGGCGCACACTTAGCAGAACTGGTTCGAGCAACGCCACAAATGAAGAGATGCTTCCAACCGATAGGGGCCAATCCTACTACTACGGATATATACCCCTTTTAATAATACTACACAATATAATATTACAAAATACATCACCAGACAATCATGCAAAGCACTGAATACTGACAGAGGCTAACACCATTTAAATTTCGCAGTGGGAAGAACCCATGTGGGCACTGAGCGATGAGCTTTTCCCAGCTGTCAATGTGGCTGTGGCCAGTTTCATTGATGGATATGGCAGCACATGACCAGTATCGCCACCACAAAGTACAGAGGCTCTACAGAAAAAAACTGTCAGTTCGGTCTTTTTCGCACGGCACAAAGCCCCATTCCTGGTGGAAAAACTGGGTATGTCCCTCATCGGCAAACTTGTACTTATTGGGTTCAGAGTTTGATGGTTCGGATCAGTCTGAGTGAGTGGATGGAACAAAATCGGTGTCGCCACGCCGCAGGCGCTGGCCCAAACATACTAAATATATAAATATGCTGATGCTCTTGTTGGCCCGTGATATTGATATGTGTAGCGTGGCCAACAAGAGTATCATCTAATTCCCAAAATATAATTACTCGTTTTGTTGGCCCATTTCACCAAGTTCCAGCTCTCAGAACTCACCACCGCTCCCTGGCCAGAAACCGTCGGTCGGTCCTCGCTGCGACAGGTGCAACGCGTGGGCGATCCACGCCGAGTCATCGTGGGGGGGCAGTCGCAGGGCTGTTGTGCGCCTCGGCAGAAGTAGTCCAGCTTCTGTTGGGGTGGAGGGGATGTTGTTGTTGGGGATTTTGTTATGGGCGATGTGTTTGTGGACATGGACATCAAAAAATGTCATGTGGTTTGTATGTGTTGTTCTCAACACGACTGGAGTCGCCGGTCGGGGTTGGGATCCCGGTCCGGAGAACCGTTCACAACAGAGGCCGCCTTAGATGCCACTTTGACCTTCGAGCAGGACGCCTTTGTTGCGCGTGCTTCGTGGTGCCTCGTGGTACCTTGAGTGAAGCTGAAATATACCAGGGAGCGGTCAAGGGTGAGCTTACCTGGTTCAGATGTCCATCAATTGCGTGCTGCTAATTCCATTGAAGCATGAAGTAGATGACCTTCAAAGTCTGACTGGGATTCCTGGAACATGACAACTTTTGCAGAGGCAACACCACAGTTGGCCCTTTGCAATATGGACCAATCCCAGGGTTATATATAGCTCGATCTACCAAATTCACCCTCTTGCAAACAAGCCTGACAACCTGCCAGACCGGGTTGGGAAGACTATTCCGAACTGGGTCGGAATATACTTCCTACATGGCATTCGCTGTCCTGCAGTGTCATCGATCTTATTGGCCTCCATCATGGCTCGAGTGTTTCGTTGTTCCTCGCCTTGGAATTCCGTGCCACTTCCCCGTTCGGAGTTGGAAGAAGGCGCGTCGCAGACTGCGGACGTGACCATCGGGATGGACAGGATGGACGGGACGGCAGGGCGATGTTCCACATGGGACGGCACGGCAGCTCCGCGGGAGAGAGATGGTTTTCGACTCCAAGCGGTTGCCCATTCAGGGTTTGGGGGGAAGAGGCGATTGGAGAAGATGAGTTGAATGGCAGCGGGGCGCTCCTTCCAACCTCGGCGGTTCATGCATCTCCAACCCAGCTGGAGGATTACTGTGATCTTGTAAGTCTTCTCAGGTAGGAACATCATATCTACGCAGAGGTGGTTTGCTTGGGGGTTCCTTTGGGTGAGGTTGACAAGCATTATGACTGAAAGATATTGAAAGCATTGCCAAATGTTTTCAGTTCTTGAACACAATGATGCCAACATCACAGGAGTACAGGAGTCATCGCAGGATCTTGTTTGAAAGTCAGGTGAAATCCTCCAGCAAATTTCGGTGTGGAGCTTGTGTTCAGAGCTGAAGTGGTCCGTTCAGGCCAGCCTTTCTTCACAATGGCACCGTACTGGAAGACACGAGAATGGCAGCCGTGGGCGACAGGCAGAACGTGAACGGAATGGGTGTGCCATGGTGTGCCTGAGGGGAGTGGAATCATGGACACATAAATGAAAGACCTGTTCTGACGGAAGACAAACCAGTTGAACAAGCACCCACCATATCCCACCATTCCCTACCAAACGTGTGGAGATGTGTGGATGAAGAACACACCTACCACGTGAGATGCCCACCTACCTACGTCGAGCTGCTTAGACTTCTACAATGTGGGTATTGGGGGGTGCCTTCTCAACGCTGTTTGAGATTAGACTGCTGTAGCAATTTGTTTGCAAAACTCAGGTTTTTTTCAGTTGATCTCAGCTGTCGAGAATTCCTGAAGCAAGGTCACAATCGATGTAGGTTGAGTTGTTTTCATGCATGTATTGTGGGAATTCCTGGTGTAGCGCTTGCATGTGGCTTGCACGTGTTTTTCTGCACTGAATTTCTGTGGTATTTTGGCGTGCTAGTTAGACAGAAAGCATGGAGCTGCTTCAAAACTTCAAGAGACCAATGTGTTCGTTGTTTTGACAGTTGCGGAGTGGGAGGGATCTCAACGCAAGAGGTTTGGAAATCCTCGCCAATCTGTGATAAAGAGAACCCAGCAGATACATCGCGCTACTTACCAAAGCAAACAACACCTACGACACCTACGTCCTTTCATGAGCGCTGAAGAACGGATCTTGCACCGTCCGCGGCCCCAAGATGCCGTCGCAAGGCTCAAAGAGTCGAAGTCGCACCTGGCTTGAGAAGGATGAGAAGGATAAGGCTGAAGCTGAGGATGACAAAGAGCCGCCTCTTGGTGTGAAAAAATGTTGGATGGACAAAGCCGGGCAAGCCGAGAACACACCATAATCATCCATAAACCACGAATTTCTGGTGTATGGACATCAACATGGTGCAGGGTGAAAGCTTAAAGCTTCCTTTTGCTGGAATTAGAAGAGAGTCAGTCGTGAGAGTAGGCTAGCACCCGTTGCAGTGGTCAGGTAGCGCGTTTTCTTTTAAGAAGGTTTCACTTGCGTTTGGTTAGAAAGCCAAACCTCTAAGCCTCTAAGCCCATAATGTTCGTTTGGAGAGCAACATCAGGGAGAAAGCACAATAACACACGCAGAACAACTTTCACAGATACACGTTTTGCAGCTGAAACCTGACACAGGAATAGACAAAACAGATCATGAATCCCAATGAAAGCTCTATAAACTAAAGAGCTCTACACACAACAGATATAAAGAACTCTTTGATGTCACAAAACATGTTCCACCTTAGTTTTGGCTTTCACGGGTTCTACCGGTGCCTCCGTCTGTGACGTGACCCCTGTCGTCCCCGTCAGCCGGGGACGACCACTGCGAGGTGCACCGAGGAGGATCTCTACGTGGCCGTCCAGGTGGGCCGAGACATGGCAGTCGGTGGGCTGATCTCCTGATCCATTGGTTTTGGTGGGTCAAGAAGTGGCCAGCCAATTTTTGATATGCTGGTGTGTGTATAAAAAATCAGTTGGTTTGGTGCTGAAAAACATGGAAGTGATGAGTGTTTGGCAAGGAACCAATGAAGCGTGAGGATACCAATCATATCCCTCGGCAGGCGCTCTATCTTGACGAGGTCTATCCGCAGGATGCCTGGGAGCTAAGACCGACACCAAAGGAGGTCAATGAAATCCATAGGCCAGAGGCAACTGAAGGCTACTGACTGAAAGCTACTGTTTCCCATTTTCTGGCATGGTTGTCAGGGGCTGTCAGTGGGTGTTGACTTGCTTGAAGTTGGTAGCTATTGTTCATCAATGATACGCATCGGACGATGTTCCGGGATGTTCCCTGCATCCCTGCACAGTGAGACCAGCCATTTTAGAATTGGAGAGCTTTGTGTACATGTGTGTGTATTTGCGGAATTCGACCAGAAACTCCTTTTGCCGCTCCGCTTGCTGTTCTGTGAGCTGGCTCCTCCTGGGACATTCATGTCTTGACCCACGGGAAGTTGGACTCCTTAGGTCATGCTTCAATGGATGCTGCCAGGCCCTTAGATACGTCACACTGACGCATCGACTGTGAGGCTTAGAGAGCTCCTTTTACGGAGGAATGGACGATCGAAACCAAGAACTCTTGAAGACACCCAACTACAGTTTCTTCTTGAAGCTGGTAGAGGAGGTGATATACTGGAAAAAGGAACTCTTTTCACACACCATATATAGAGAACATCACAACTAGCTGCCTAGCTAATGAAAACAGACTGAAGGACTCGTGATTTTCGACAGTCACTCTTAAATATATTAAGTATATTTTATACATACAAATATCATCAGATAGGTAGGTGGATGGATGGATGGATGGATGGATGGATACCTACATAGACTGTTTGATGTCCCATCGCCTCTGGTGTTGTGAAGCGATTTTGAGCCAAGGAGCGGCTACAAAGATGTCACCGTGGAGGAGTCGTGGCGTGACCGGAGTGGGACTGGAGTGTGCCTCCGACGCTCCCCATGCACGTGGCCAATGCCAGTCCCAATTCAGTCTTCGGGGGGGTGCGTTCGGATTCACTAGACGACGACGCTGAGGCCGAGGCGTGGACATTAAAGCTTGTCAGAGGGTAAGCCATCTCAACGAACCGGTTCTTCACCTGCAAAAGAGTGCAATTAGCGCCTCACAGCAGTTTTGGGTCGCGAGTGTTCGCTACAGACTCTCCGGGTAGGGCTTAGCAGGGGAATGGAATAATGATAAATAATGAAGCGCATCTTGCTGGCCCTCCGAAATGGAATCAGACCTCGTGAGGTCTCTAAAGTCTCCACGGCTGTTCTGACCCCCGTTCACGGCATTCGCCAGACCGGACTCTATAGGAGATTCAACGTGTGGCAGACAAAAGCGCAACGTTGCAGGCAAAAACACCGTTCTGGGATGTGCCAACCATGCAAGGGTGGTAGCCCATGTAGGATGCTAGTGATGTTTGATGGTTCGTGATTCATTATGTGTGCTCAATTATTTTTGAGGTGCCTAGTATCTCAGATGCCCTGTGTTTGTCTTGGAAACCTTCAGGGTCAATCCTCGTTTGTGTTCACAAGATGCTTACACCTGCCAGAGAGGAGTTGGATTGAGTCAGTGTTCCAACATCTCTAGAGTTTGGACGGTCTGCAGATGATGAAGCAAAGTCTGGCACTAGCTCCGCCAGATGACCCCGAAGATCAAGGGGCCATCACCATGACCTAAACATGAGGTGCAAGGACTGGCGTATATTTACTTTATTTTACTTTATATATATACTTGCAGAACCACCCCAGTACGGATGAGACGTCGCACGTTTTGGTTCAGTATGGACTATGATAACATATATGATGTTGCTCTTTGCTTTCCTATCTGGTTTTGGTATTCCAGATGTAGGGAAAATCGGCACCCAGACAGGTGGAGCACGGGTCTTCGAACAGGCGGGCGCACGATGGAGTCTGTGGCAGAGAAAGCGTTCTGACGGGAAAACTGAGGGAGTAAAGAAGTTGCACGGAACTTGGAATATGTACGTTGTGTAATTGTAGTTCTTGGTATTCGAGGTGCTTGGGTGCTGTTGAGGAGGACTCTTCCTGTGATCTTATATTGAAGCAAGTGGGGGGCGATTGAAAGTTGAATGGTGTTGCCCCAAAAGGCTTGGATCTAGGATCTATGCATGTACACATACCCATGTGACTATGCCTTGGCTACTGTATCTATAGCTGTAATGATAGCTTGCAATATAGCTCACCCACACTTCCACACACTGTGTCAAGCACTGGAGGAAGGGCTTTGCCGTCCTCCTGGCCGATCCGCCCATGGGCTTTCGGGGCTTCGACGAGGGGGCCGAACAGGCGATCGGTGGAGGGGGAGGCAGTGGCTGTTGGGGTCGGCGCCTGGCGATGACTTTCGGTTTTGAAGTTGAAGAGTAATCGGTTTTCCATATGTTCTCTGCGCTTTTCGCGGCTGGAACACGTGGCTTGTAACAAGGGCGCTGTGACAGCTGCATGTTTGTTTGATACTATTGATAGAAGGCACGTGGATTGGTTGGAGCGCAGTGCTTCAGGTGCCCTTGGACCTGTTTGAGGAAGCTGTGATGTTGGTGTCAGCCTCTCAAGGGCAGGGTCGGGAGCCGGATTTGGGGGAGAGTTCGACCCAGTTGGTTCGATCAACACTAGGTTCCAGTTTTGGTGAACGACGCACAGGGCGTCTCATTCCGACGTTTTTTCCGTACTCGCTACCAAATACCAGAATGCAGAAGTCGAAATTAAGAGTTGAAGCGCACGCGACAGCGAAAAGATATATCGTGACGACTAGACCGGCATTCTATTTGTTTGTTCCTTTATGTGTTGTCCTTCCTCTCTCTTTTCCTGCTATAGCCATAACGTATTTTCATTATGAACAGCACAGACAGTAGGACAGTCAATATATGTCAATATGTTTCTTTTTTCAGAACAACTTTCCTCGTGTCACGTGTCCATGGAACCATCTTCGGTCATCCTCAGGTTGGGTGGTGGATGGCCAAAGCCTGACCGATCCAGTCACGATCGGATCTCTATCGCAGCAGCATCCTTGGTTTGTCAAGTGAGAGGGGTCATGCTTGGTGGAAGCAACATGTCGTTCATGAACATGCCAACAGGCATTGTCAGGCCATGAGGCCATGATTCGAAAGCAGTTTGAGCGAAGGGAGACCACCTGCTGGTAGCTAGACTTCCCAGCTTTTGGAAGTGGAATTTTCTTGGGCCACCTGTTTGGGATGTGGGGCATCCAGGCATGTTTGCCGTCGGTGCATTCACCCCATTTTTCTTTCAGCGGTCGAGGCTTGGCTTCATCAACGCGAGCCGCTGCAGAAGTTGACTCTGGGAAAGTGCCTGTCAATTGTGAACCTGCTTCTAGCAAGTCCTAGACTCAGTGTTCAGGAATATTTGTGTGTCGCAGTTCCACGAATCATTGGGACTCATTCATGCTTTGAAGATGGTGTTGACACGGGTTTTTCGCTGGCAAGCAGATTGATTTCGGCTGGGATGCGGGATAGATCTTAGGATTCCTGATTCCAAGAAGCAGAAAGCCTTGATGTGTGATTTTTAGCCCTTTGCAGTTTGTTTTGTTTGACCTGGGATCATTTCAACAGCTCCTACGAAGCAAGTAATTAGACAAAGATGTATGTCAATTTTTTGGAGTCGTTGCCAAGTCTCATCTCTTTCCTTTATGATAGTGTAGGATGCTCTTACTCAAGCAACTCTTGGCGTGTCTTCAACGAATGGCTTGGCTTTGTTTCATGTCAATTGTTTCACCTCAGAATCCAAAAGTTCTACGATTGGAACATTACACCTATACACAAAAGGAACACAAGAAACATCCAGAAACTATAGTCATGAGATGTCATGAGTTGTCCCATCAAGCAAATCAGCTGCTGTTTAGGCTTTAGGAAGCACCCATCAAGCACCCGTGACCTTCGTGACGAATCGGGGGGCCTCCGGTCGACGTCGAGGCCACAGCGTCATTGGAAAGCGCCAGGGGCGCTTGGTGCCTTACTTCGTCTCGGAGGACACCGTTGTCGGAGTTCCGCGGAGGGTGTTTGCGCCGAGGCTCCGGCGGACCGTCACGTGGGCGGGTCATCGGTTTTTGATTCATGGATCTTGATTCATGAGTCTCCAGATCTCATGACATCTCATGGCGAGAGATGAGATTATATGAGATACCATCTTGCACCTTTAGAAATTTGGTGGCATCACAGAAGAGGGGATGCCCCCCGGAAAAGTTTGGATATCACCAGTGTTTGTCATCCCAGGTACATGCATGATGTTGAAGACCAATGATTGGAAGATGTTGGAAGAAACTAAATGGACTCAGGATTGTTCTGGATCTGTTCTGGATCCTCTCCTTGACTGACCCATCCCAGTAGATCAGAATGTCAATGAAAGATATGTGTCAAGCCGAAGGCAGAGGATCTTTGTTTCAGTTGAAGAAGTGGAGAGGAGCCACTCCACCTGCGGCCAGCTTGTGACTGGAGTTCACCTGATTTGTTAGATTGATTTGATTGATTTGGTGAATCATTTCAGTTTTGTGACGATTCATGAAGAAGAGCCGTTTGAAGAGAGATGCAGTTTCGAGACAGTTCATCAGACATGGTCCACCAGCTTGGTTTCTTGTCCAGGAGTATGAGAAGCAAGAGAATGCCCGACACCTGTTGCCCACAAGCCTCCGCGAAGATGAAGTAAATTCCTCAGCTTGAAAGAAGTGTGGCGTGCAATCATGACCAATGCTATTGCCATTGATGCATGTGCAGTGTAAGACAGAAAGCCCAGTTGCCTCAGAGTTCCAACGTATTCGAAAACGTTCGAGATTGGGCGTCCAGTAAATGATAGCACCTTCCAAGATGGTCGCACCAAGGTGGACGGGTTCCAAGTTGGGAATTCTTACGGTGAACCCAACTACTGTGCTCCGGAAGCTCACAACTGACCGGTTTGTACATGACTAATTATAGGCCTTCAAATCTTCAAAAAGATGAACCGGAGTTGGTAGGTCTATACGGTATCTATTATTGAGTGCATTTCAATGCATTTCATATGTTCCATCCGGGGCCCAGTAAGACCCCGTGTTAACACCCCAAATTCCCAGAGTCGACGTCTTTTCGGAAACAGTGAATGCCATGGTGTAAGCCTCTGTGAGTGATTCCCGAGGTCTGGGTGGATTCATGGGATGACCTCATCAGCTTCATGGAGCTCTTGCTTCAGGAGCCGAGGTACGTGTCTCTTTGTTCGGCGTCGCACCGCGGACAGATCAGATCGACGGGTGCATCCGGGAAAAAGTGGCTTCGTCCCGTTGGTTCCACCCCGAAAGAAGACCCAGGCTGGTTCTGTTTTGCCCAAGAAAATTCCAGGGGGGCAAACGTGTTCCTGAAGGTATGGCGCAGCGCGCGTTTCGTTTGGAGACCCAGAGCACAGGACAATGGTGGCAAGATGATGTGCCTTGGCGCAGGAAAGGAAGCCGTATACGGTGCGTGAGATGCTTGCATATCTTGCAAGTATACGATGTATACAACTGAATGCTGGCTGTATAATTTATACGGTGTATTTGTATAACTATTAGCATTTACTGAGGAGGTTGGTACGAGAGCCTTGTGTGTTGTTTCCCTCATCATCCCTCATCGGCATTGTTTATCCTTTGCACTCAGTTTTAGTGGATGCAATTGATGCATGTTTGCAAAGAACATAAAGCACCAACCCTTGTTAAGAGCACAACATATACTCACATTATAGTCATATACCCTGCATGAATACAGGAACAATAAACGTATACATGTGTATACATATATACATACAGAGAGAAGGCATGTCCAAATCCTGAAACACTGGACGACCAAGACACCCCCACCTCAGTGACGACCGGCTGTCGAGCCCACCGGTTCCGACGGAGATGTTTTCAACCGTTGAGGTCAGCAAGGCTGAAAGTGGAGATCCGCACACGTTTCCAGGTGGAGCTCAGTGAGACAGCCTTGGGCTACACCAGTTTGGGTCCCAGGGTGTCCCAAGGCATGGCTGAATGGATTGGATTGGATGGAATGGATGGAGAAAGAGATGCAAGTAGTTGGACAAGAGATGGCAGATGATGGCAGTATATGAACTTATAACATACCATACCACACTGTATGTTAATCACACATAGACTTAGACTATTACTGTAGACATATTAGACTCTATTAGACTGAATGACTCTTTCGTTGTCAGAAGCCCCAAATAGATGGCCTTGGATAAAACCCGATCCAGCCCGATGCCAAACCGGTGCTTCGTGAGGCCTGGGCGCTTTGCTGGAGGATCAGAGGATCCAGCATCACTTCGAGGTGCGCAAGAGCCCACCGGCGGCCCGGAGGCCTTGACCGATCCGTTTGGCTTGGAACTTGGTGACGCAGACTACTGAACCAACCTAGTAACTAGTTGTTTTTTAAAGGGGGTGGTTTTTGCCAGGGGTCAAATGAAGAGCTGGCTGGTGAACTCAGTTTGGGGCTCATTTTTGCCGCTAAAGGAAACATCGATCTTTACTATATGACTATAACATGTTTTCGTTCTCGCTGTTACCCAAGATCTTTCAACGTGTTACGTAATCAAAAACTACAAGCTTTAGCTTTGGACCCATGTCAACTGGTATGGCATGCGAATGGGCTGTGTCAGTCAGCTACAGGTTTGGGTTTGTGCATGTCTCTTCGGACTTACATGCTTTATTAACATCCTTCCTTGCCCCCACTTGCTGCTGTTACTTTTGGGGCATGCACCTTTATACAAAGCCCCTTCATTATTTGTTCCACATTGAGGGGGAGACCTTCTCGGGGGAGACCTCGAGTAGGTCGTTCGAAGTGAAGTCCCCCGACTTCGGACCACGGACTGCCTCACTGAGACTGCCTCAAGGCTGACTTGATTCTTCTCCGACAATGGAAGGTCCAGGGAGTGTGGGCGGCAGTGTTCGGCAGTGTTCGGCCGGCCCCCTGCGGAATTGAAAGGGTGTAGTGGACGGGGATCCTGGATCACCTTCAAGGGTTCGAATGCAGGATTCAATGAAGAAAGTTATAGAGTAGTAGATTTAGATGTTTTTTTCATGGTGAGTTTGTTGGGACCCAGATGGAACCAGTCAAGACATGAGTCATTTTTCATTCTTCAAGAGTGTTTGCAGGAGCTGCATTAGAAACACACGATGTATATATTCAAACTCCAACCTTCACTGCAAAGCGGGTGTGAGTCACAATATGGATGCGGAAAAGAAGAACACTAACACACAAACTCACGAACACAATGCCGGATTTGGGGTCCGGGCCCCCATCCGCCCAGACCCGACTGGCTCCGCCCAGACCTTCCTTCTCCGACTGGCACAGGTCTCCGGGTCATCTGCAGGCGCTTCGGTCCTCACCGACGGGTCCTCCGCTGCGCGGCGCGGCGCGCGTTTGGCGCGTGGATGCGAAACCGGTGCGGGAGGACCGGTGCAGCGGATCCGGTGCCAGGTGAACGGATCTTGGCGCAGCTTCAGAACTCGTGGGGGCCCCTGGATGGAGCTGGGGCCCCCCCTTCTTGGGCCGAACTGAGGTGTTGTGGGTTGGCTTTCATGGGGGTTGTATTCAGCGAGGCAACTAAGCAATGACATGCAATGACTGTAAATGAATATCCTTTGAGACTTGTGTACAGTGGGACTGGTTCTAGAAGTTGGGTAGGTGGATGGCCGTTTGGAGTAGTCAGAGATTGGACCACAAGAAAGCACTAGCAGAACATTGCCCTTGATATCCCTTGATGCATTAAGCCTCTCATTTCCGCAAGTGACTTGCCAAGCTTTACACCAAATTCAACACAAAACAAGAGAGACGCGTCCGCCTCAATCTGAGCTGGACGCGTCCGCACCAATTCGAGCTCTGAAGCCTTCGCACTAAGGACTGGTCCTGAGTCCTGCGGTGCCTATGCCACTCCCATCAAGCAGGTCAGTGTGCATCGAGACGAGCAGAAGAACAATTCTTTGTTCATTCATGTTTATTCCATGGCTAGTACAAGCCAAACGCAAGCAATTTCAAGAAAAACAACAATCTGGTGTCGCTGGTGTCCCATTTCTGGAGATTCTGTTGGGAGGCCTCTCAGTTGCCATCGTTGCCTTTGCCACACTGGGAGATAGTGAGCCCTTTGGCCTTTCAGTCGTTTAAGGCAGATGTTGTAGGTGCCAAGGCATGCCAAGCCTGAGGGGTTGCGGTCTTTGTTCCTTCTTGGTGGTACTACAAACCAGCAGCAAGCTAGGTAGGATGTGGATGAACAGATTTTTCAGCCCCGCAAAAGAGTGCATCGTTTGCATGTGGGTTTCTTTGACCTCGACTAGAATCACTAGAACCTCAGACCCCTTGGATGTCAATCTAACAGGTCCAGTGTGGTTGCCATCTCCACAATGTCAAGTGTGGCCGGCCCCTGGAAAAGCTTTGCAACTCCTTAGGTCATGACAAGTGCCTTAGGGCACTTATAGGTTGCATTCCTGTTAAAATCTAAGGGTGGAAGCAGAGACTTAGCGTGGACACATCAATGTACTTGTTGAGACTTGGAAAACGAACATGAACATCGCTTGAATCATGTATGCCTGCAAATCCAACTACACACTACAGTTCGAACATGTTAGATTCCTTAGGACTTCCCTTCCGGGTTAGCACCGTCTCGGAAGACGAAAAAATGCCACGGGATGTGAGCCGTTGAGGCGCCTCAGGGCCGGTTTTGTTTTTTGTTTGCTTGGGTATAGAGGCAGTCAACCAATTGTCACACAGGCCGGTAAGTATCCCAATCCGGTAAGCAGCCCAACATGTAGAACCCACGCAGGATACTCTGCGGTGCTGGGCTCCTAAGCAGGAACCAGCACTATTGACTTGTTACTGGTGGATCGACAGTGGAAAACTGCTATTTGACCTAGTAACAAGTGCCTCGCTAGTAGTAACAAGTGCCTTACTAGTAGTAACAAGTGCCTTACTAGTAGTAACAAGAAGCTATTAGTCAATTTAATTTTAAACTAATTCTAATAGCTTCTTGTTACTACTAGTAAGGCACCTGTTACTACTAGCGTGGCACTTGTTACTACCACGATTGACTTGTTACTGGTGGATCGACAGTGGGAAACTGTTATTTGACCTTTTCAAACACCCAAGTATCCCTGGTAACAGATGAGACACCTTGCTTGCATGTATGCAGGCATATTCACGCCATGTCCTGACATAGACTCATTTGGGTGTCGTGTAAGACCTCCATGTTCCAAAACACATCGTGGAAGACCTTCTGGGCGGGTCGCCGGTCGCCGCCGCTGGGCTGATCGGATCCTGCCATGACAGTAGCCATCACAAAGACGGTAGCCATGCATCAACATGATGTTCAATTTTTAATGACATGTGATAAACGTATTTTACACCATGTGATAAAATGACATGTTTATGTTTGTTCAACTTGATGCTCAAACAATGCTCTTTTGCATCACTTACGACCATCCTCGATGAGAGCAGGGAGAGCCAGCCAAAGAATACACAAGCACTTTGTACGTGTTTTTTTTCAATATATATATATGTATATATATATATATCTTTGATTCTTGCCAGATCTTGGTCTCAACTTCAGCTTGCTCGCTGAGTCCATCACTTCAGGTCGGACCTTTATGCCTGGCAGCGAGGAGCCGTCCACGCAGGTGGGACAGCAACACTTCAGGGGACCAGACGCAAGACATGGGTTCTGACCATACCCGATATATCTCGACATCATGTGGTGCATATTCGTTTTTTGTTGCTTGCTTGGCCCCGAGTTGCCATGAGTATATGCCAGCAAATTTCCCTGGCTTGCGAAGCGGCTTGGACCGCTTGGTGCCTTTTGTCGGCGCCTTTCGGTGAGAAAGGGTCGAGCGATTTGGGGCGATTTGGATCTGGGTTGTCGTTGACGCCATCAATGGACAAAAGCTATGAAACACACTTAGACATGACACATCAATGTGTCTTTGTATGTCCCAGTTGATTCCTGATACACCAAATAAGCCCAAATAAACAAATCACTAGTCTTGTTGAGGAAGTTGGCCATCTATGTTGCTTTGCTGCCCTTCCTGAGGTGCGGTTGCCGGAGGAGCCAGCCACCAAGATGAGAACCCGAGTCATTCGTGGATGACCAGCTCTTGGAATGTCAAACGGCTTTCTTTAGCTTTACTCCCCTGCAGAGGTCCACATGGAACCCCAAAACCACGTGGGGTTGTAGAGGAAAATGGTCGAAACCACCGGTCAATTCTCAGGTTCCATGTTAGTTTGCGGGAGGATATTTGGAAGTGGTTGGAAGTTGGAAGATGATCTTCCCTCGCGTACAATTGTGGATGGTAGTGTTGTGCACCGTGTTCGAAGGCATCTTGTTGTATTCTGCTGCATAGTTTTGGCATTATATACTGTAATATGAATGTGTTAGACCAAATATGTGTGTATATATATATATGCACATGGGGTGTATGCAAACATGTCACACAAGCATCATACCCAAAAAACATGTGAAGACTAGGACATAGGAGACACAGATACAAACATATCATACAAGCATGATACATCATGATACCAAAACAAAACCAGAGGACTTCAAACACAAGAGACATGACACAAAACTCCACCGACCTGGTCCGTACTTCGCATCGACTCTTAAGGCCAACTGTCATGGAGGCCTGGCTGGTGAATGGGTGGGTCGCGCGTCCTCTGTAAATTCAACCAACGGTAACCTGAAGAAGAGCTATATGGGATCAATCACAAGTTCAGAAGTGTCAAGAGTTCTGGAATTCCTGTCAACAAGTGCTGCTTTTGTGGTTGAAAACCCATCTCTGACACGCCATTGCTGCTGCGGTAGGTTTGAAGCCAGCTCCACAGTGTCTGACGAAAAGGAGGTCAGCAAACATTTCTTGACGCAAGCACGTCTCTGAGTATGTCCTGCGACCCCATGGACTCGGATTTTGAGTTGGTGCTCGAGACTTGCTGGCCAATCGCAACAACAACAACAACAACAACAACATGTTGATTGTCTACAGTCTTAGTCTTAGCTCATATGTGGGTGTTATATGGTGTTATCTTATGGTTATGGCCCTTTCCAAGAGTGCCCTCTGTAGGGCAAGCATGCGGTTTTCCTTTGGACACCCTGGCCATGCCTGCCAGGGGTAAGTCTGCATTGCAGGGTGCGAAGCTGCCGGGAGTCACCCCGTCGTAGCGCAGAGAACTTCAACCGCCGTTTGCCTCGTGTGTCCTGTGGTCGTATTGCTTTCATGAAAGCTCACCGAACCGAATGGGATGGTGGTTTGCTTAAGAATCGAGGGCACACTTGGCAGATCTCACTCGAAAACGCAACATGTACAGTTAGTCTCTTGTGTCAATTGCGAGCTCGACCAGTTGGTCTTCGCATATGGCATATGGCACCAATCGTTTGCACGCTCTGCTTGAACACGGATGGTAGGAGGCCAACCTCATACTCATATGGTTTCAGCTCATACTGATCATAACCATGTACATCATGGCCAGATACCCAGATGCAAGTCGTTGTGTGACTCTTCTGTTTTGTCCCTTCTTGGTTTTGGGTCTAGATCATTGACTCCTTGATGCACAACATCGTTGCAGTCTTTGCAAAGCAAGAAACGACATCCAGAGAGAAAAGTTCGACAAAGCAAGGATGACTCCCAAAATCATACGCCGGGAGCACGCTTTTTTGTGCGCCTGCTCGAACAGTTGAACAGCTTTCTCATTTGATCCCAAGGCATTGACATTTGCTTGGGTCAAAACCAACAGCTAGGTATATCGGTATATCGTAGAAGACCCAGAAGATCCGGAAGATCCTCCCCGGCATTTGGAACGTTTCTTTGCATTGGTTACGTCTAAAAAGACCAACCGTTCTTTTTGTCGCTGCACCACACGGGTTAAACGTACAGGTCACCCGATGGTCACCCGATCGTGGCTCGAAGGCTGGGAACAAGATTTTACAAAGTCGACATGGGAACATATGGAAACGTCGCATAAAAAGTCTTTGCTTTATGAACTAACTTTTTACAGAGTTTGTAATTACCTTTGCAACTCGCCACATAACATGCAAAAGTGAATAGAGGTCGACGTTTGATGCATGGGTTCCAGGATCAGATCGCCCTGTTTTCTCATATCCCGACTCACCGTGGCGGAGCGAAACTTCGCTCAACCAGCCATGGTTTGATGCGGTCATCTCGGGCGGCAAGCACCTACTTCTTGGGAGGTGCCGTTCTTCATTGTTTTCGGTTTTTCTGCGCGGTTTGGAGATGAGCGACCCAACGAAGGTAAATCAAAGGTCGGAAGATCCATCACGAAAATACCCTTCAAATGCCCTATAGAGTGCAGTCCTGCATTGTTTGTCGGTGACTTGTGACCACCTGAAATAGGGGAGGTTTCACCGTCATCCTGGCCACGGTTCGACCTAACAGGTACAAGCACACCCAAGAAAAATAACACATACCCCGTGCTTTGCATGTCAAGAGCGAGAGAATGAGACAATGAATGCAGGATGCATGGTCAAATGAATGCAGGATGTTGTGACTGGATATGCAAAACCACTTAGATCAAACTGCATGGTTGGCCCACTGCTTAAACAAAGGACACACTCAAGGCTTGAAGCTACTCGAGAGTCAAGGAACATTTTTGTAAAATTGTATACATATGTTCTCTCGTTGGGAAACGGTGCATGTGAATATAATATAACATATATTCAATTCAGACATAACATCACATGTTTTGATCATTTTCTCCCTGGAGGTGTGGAATCCACTAACACCTACAGGAGCCTCTTGGCAAAAAGAAAGCACCCGGATCTGGATCCGGGCGACGAGGTCCTAAAGCGCACGGAGCGGGTGGAGACATGCAACGACCCTGTTCAGTGGTCTTAAAGCAAATGGATGAACCATGGTATGTTTGGTCATTCAGCGTGTTGCTGTTTCTATTTTTGCAGGACATATTCTGCAAGATGAAGAACAGACGGCAGAAGCCGTGAAGTCTTGAGATCTGAGGTAACTTTGAGCGTGCAAATAGTACTACTACTGGCATCCTCTACCATGAGCTTCAAGTCGACAGTAGCCAGGCCGGGCAAGCAGGACGTCGACATGTCGATCCCAAAGTATGTCAATTATGTATGTCAATGACACTGTTTGAAATCACTTGCATATAATTGCTACGTTCGCATGCAACGTTTTTGGGCATTTGCATGTTACGCCCCAATGCCGCCATTGACGCTGAAAGAACGTCGACTTCGCAAGTTCCTGTCATTGGACCGCTGTAGTGTTCTCACGCGGGAGTTGCTACCTGCTTAGAGAAATGCGACATGTACGGATACCGTATATCCGGATGAGAATACCTGATACTTGTGAACGAGATTTCAGTCCAACACACTTGGAAGAATTGCGTGAAGGTGATTCCAAAGGTTTTTTGGCCCCGGTTTCTGGATGCAGTTTCCAATCTTGAAATTAGACCAAGGGCGGTTTTAAAGGCGCCGACGACGAAACCGTGTCACATTTGGCGTTTTCATGTGCATTTCATGCCTGACCAAGTCGTGCTGCAAACAGCTTTGGTTTAATCCTACTTTTTTGGTATGTGTAATTACTGTATACTTGTGTCCAATGCAGTTTACACGAGGACAGATTCAGGATCACTATCAAACCAGTGCGCAAACCATATCGATGCCAACAAGCAGTGAATCGAGATGTTGAAGCCCTGTACCTCACATTTACATCTCAGAACACGAAAAGTCCCCATTGTATACAAGATGTATTATACAAGATGTATTGGAACCTATGAACCTTTCTGTTTTGACGTGGTCCATGTTGCTTTGAGGGGTCTCTAATTTTGGCCCAACTTTGCCTCCAAATTGCTGCCTCGCCAGACCCTCCTTACCTATCATGGCTTCGAGCGAGCGTCATCCAAAGGGAGCTATCGGCATAGCATCTCGAAGCAGCGTGGGCCGGAGACATCCTTGATACAGTAGCCCTATCCATCCCTATCCCTACTCAGTGGCTATAGTGGCTACAACCCACTTGCAGGCTAAACCCTCCCCAAAGAAAAGAAGACAGTGGAGAAGGACCAACTAGACCGCTATGTTCCTGCAGAACCTGGGCTTTGCCCATAGATACTGTGGTTGCTTCTGGAAGCAAGCCTATTGCACCCGGTCCCTCCCACTTGGCCTGGGACAAGCCAATGAAGACCCGTACTTATCCAATAGTACGTATACGGGCATTATGTATGAGCTAAGAGATGAACCCGCGAGGAAACGATAAAACAATGAATTGCCCTCCTTTCCAGTCCGTTAGGGTGGCCATTAGGGTGGCCATTGCTGTTTGTCGGTTTTACATGCCATCGCTATTAATTAAAGACGGACCACTCCAAGGAGTATGAAAAGGGTCAGATCTTTGGGTGGCCAAGCGCACGAGAACGTCTCGCTCACGTGACACGTGAGTGAGTTCTTCGGTCCCGGAAGCGTCCGCGTCGTTCACATCGACCCACACCACCTTCGGCCCAGTTCGCCTGTGCCAAGGCGAACTGAGCACTCCTGCTTTGTCGCAACTGATTTGGGCGTTCCTCCAATCATCCTGGAAGGTGACGGGGCGATGATGAAAGGAGCTCAAAGAGTTAAAGACAAACTGTCTCACTGTCTCAAGAAAGCATAGGCTCGCAGCATTAATAATGGAGAAATATAAATCAACGTAAATATTGAATATGACATTATGAATCATCATTTATCATGAAACGCCGCGTTGTTTTCAAGAGTTTGTTTGTTGTGGTGTCCATTGAATGGCGAAAACGCACACATCCACTATCCACGGAGCCCTTTGTGGGGTTTTGCTGCTGAGATCTCGAGGCTGTCCTAACCACACTGGTTGCACTGCTGCTCGCTGCTGGAATTCACTTTGCAATGCCTTCGGTTCATCCAAATAGGCTGCTCTGGGTCGGACGGGCACCACAAATCATCTCAATTGCCAGTGTGTGCCTGGAGCCTTTGATGAATTTTGGATTGGAACATTCAGCAGCGATTGATCACTTGATCGTTAGAACCACATGCATGAGGATGCTTTGGACCACGCTCCAACCACCTACAACGTCCTACATCACTCTCCGAATCTCATTGAGGTCATGGGATTTGTTGATTTTTCGCTCCAGTCGAATCAGTAAACTCCGTAGCTCATTGAAACACCCTGCAGCCACACACCCATATCAGACCCTTCGAGCCGCCGGAGAGGTACATCATCATGAGCACCACCGTGGTGGACTATCCCGCCGCCTTTGAGGTCCCCAGCGAGTACCATCCCGCTTGTGACGCCAGGTGCGTTCGGGAGGGCCCTTCCGTTCCGGCGGAGGTCTCCAGCGGAGGTCTTCGTGGGTGAAGGGATGGTGAGTTGATGGAGGGAGCACCGTGGAGCACCGTATAGTGATCCATGTTCTGTAAAATGCTTTGGGCGGCTCGTTGGGTTTTAGCCAATGAACACCCCATGGCTTAGGAATCAAGAACTGGCACCTGTATGTTGCCTGAACTGAATCAAGCTACACATATGATTGTTATAAATGATTAATGTGTGTACGAGCAAAAGACAGTCTCTTTTGGGGAGAGAACCAGACAAAGACCTTGGGAATCAGAAACACATACTTGAAACCATAGAACACCTTGAAGCATGAAAACATGTGGATAGAGTAGTTGGAAACAGATCAAGGACTCACTGTAAAAGCCGAACACGTGGAACACAAAAATCAACACACAGACAACCATCCACCCTCAACAGAAACACCCTGTCAGGAGGACTCAACACCTCTGTCATGTGCTTTTTCCACCCAGGTCGCCGGACTTCACCATGGGAAATCGTGACTACTTGGAAGGTCTGAAGGCGAGGCCAGCCGCCCCTGCTTGGTCCGACGGAGAGCGGTAGGGAGGCGGTGCTTTAGTGAGAGCGAGGTTTGTTTTGAGAGGGGGTTTTGGAGAGGGTGACGAGAGGAATCTTCTG